TTTTTTTTTTTTTTTTAATGTTTAGTGTTGAATTCACATAGTAAGAGGTTTTTTGCGTTGGCCATGACAGTTTTAGTTTGACTGACTGTGCAGTTGCGTTATTTTACATGTTTAATCGAATGATTCTTTTTTCTGCATTTTGAAAGGTTACCTCTTTCGCGTTGTAGTTGGGAGTAAGGAGTGCCAACAATTTGAGGGGAAATGCCTCGGGTGAAGAACGTAACGAGTAAAGTTTATAAGTGTCCCAGGAGGCCATTCGAGAAGGAACGTCTTGATCAAGTTAGCGCTTTTATTTCTTATCGCTGTTTATAGTGCTTCCCTGCCTCGTTCACTACCTTGGTGGGAGTTGGACAGCATATGTTTATATATATTATTTCTAGGAGCTGAAATTAATTGGTGAATTTGGTCTGCGTAACAAAAGAGAAGTGTGGAGAGTCAAATATACGCTTGCAAAAATTCGTAAAGCAGCCCGAACGCTTTTGACCCTGGAAGAAAAGGTTTTTTTTTTTTTCAAATAAAAGCATGAAAGCGGGTACTTCAAGTATTCTTATTTTGCATTGTTCTATATATATATCGTTTGTATGTGTGTTCTAAAAATATTAGGCCTTAAATCTTAATTATACTGATATCTCGTGTATTTTCAAGCGAGAGGGGTAGTTCTATAGAAGATACGGCAAAACAGTTTATTTCTGTTTAGCTTTAGTTATAGCTGTTTTTACAGTCAAAAACGTACCCAAGAATTTCAGAGGAGTTACTACTGTTATTTTTTACAGGATCCTCGCAGGTTGTTTGAGGGTAATGCCCTCTTGCGTCGTTTGGTAAGAATTGGTGTATTAAGTGAGGAGAAGATGAAACTCGATTACGTCCTAGGTTTGCGCGTTGAGGATTTCTTAGAGCGACGCTTACAGACTCAGGTGTTCAAATTGGGGCTCGCTAAATCAATTCATCATGCGCGTGTTTTAATAAGGCAAAAACATATTAGGTTGGTTTTGGACTTTAGCTTGTTTCTCTATTAGGCGTTGAGATCCTTGTTTTGACGCTGCTGTGAATAGGAGTAATCTTGTAATTTTTGCATTTCTTTTGTTTTATAGTTTGTCGGTATAGCTTTGAGCTCGTTTTGCCATACTCGTTTATGCCTTAAATGCATGTTATGAGTGCCAGAAACGAGCAAAATCATATTCTGCTTTTTGTGAGGCAGAGCAGTTTTGTAAATGCTGTGTTTATATGGAGCAGTAACACTTAATGAAATAACAGTATTTGTGGCTTTTTTTATCTGGTAGGATATTCGTAGGTTTATATTTCATAAGAAGTTTTTATATGGATTTTAATCATTTTATAACTCGCCTCCCACTTGTGGGGATTTCAGCTTAGTTTTGTAAAAAGCCCACCAAATAATTTAAACTCAACGCTTGTTGTGATAATAAACGCCATGTATATGATAGAGTCGTAAGAAAGCTTAATTACCTAGTTTTAGGGTTAGAAGGCAGATTGTAAATGTACCATCGTTCATTGTGCGTTTGGACAGTCAAAAACATATTGATTTCTCACTGAAATCGCCTTTCGGTGGCGGACGACCTGGCCGTGTTAAGAGGCGTAATGCTAAAAAGGGTACAGGAGGTGAAGAAGGTGGTGAAGACGAAGAGTAACTTCGTTAGATGGTTGTTTCTTTCTTGGCTGATAAATTTATGTCGTTTTGTGTTGTCTGTTCGTGCTTGTTACACATAAATAATTGTTAATATTGCTAAAGTTATTTTTTCCCGAAATTTCTGCAAATTACAATTAATTTTTTGGGGATCTAATGCACGTTCCAACAAGAAAAATGCAATTTGTCGCACATGTTAGGGAAGTTTTTAAGCTTTTTTCGACAAAAAGAGTTCAGTTCAGGCGAGTTTTTTCAGTTATTTTTATGAGATAGTAGCACTGTCAAAGGTTCTTTTTTCACTTTTCAAGGGTAAAATTTGTCGTAACTGTGTCAGGTTCGCTATATTTTGACTTGGTTATTTTTGAAGTCGTCGCGTATTTCTATTTAAAGATGGTGATTTCAACATCATCTCTAGTTCTTTCTGACTTTGAACAGTTCCATGCTTTTTACATCTAATTGCTTTTTATGATGGGATGCTTTGATTCCTTCTTTGTGTATCCGGAGGGGTGGCTGTGAAAGTGATTTTGTGATAGGAGTGGTCAGAGAGGGTCTGATGTTTGCCTGGCGTCGGTTTCAATCAGCGCTTTTGCAAATGATGTTGGAAAAATTTTTGTGAGAGTAGTTAGTAGCAACTTCAAATTGGGTGTGCTCATGAGTTCTTCAATAAGAGTTGTGGGTTTTTGGGTGAGCGCCTCACAAATTCACGTTATTCACAGATGGAGTTCCGCTGTTGTTGCAAATTAGTTTAGCTAATTAGTTGACCTTGTCTTCAGGGTTTTTTTTATTGTGGCAAATCAATTTCCTAAACTGAGGTGGAGTAGATGTTTTCATGACTAATGTGTTTTCACTTTAGAAGTCAAGATGTTTTTTTTCAAGATTAGTTTCTGACTAGCTGTTCTGTGTACAAAATTGTTAGTGAAGTGCGGGGACTGTTTCCAGAATACATTTTGATTGAGTACTCAGTGTCTGGTTCAGCTTTTGTCTGTTTTTGAAGGTTTCTTTTGAAGATTATGTAGCGGAATGTGTAACTGCGCACGTACAGTAAATTCTTTAAAACTGCAGTTGCAAGGTGGTCATAGCGACGGCTTTTTTACATTTAAAGAGAAATGGCTTGCAAAAGGCGCAGTAAATGCTTTTGAAAAATACGAAGAAGCGGAAATTATGTATTGGAAAGGCAGAAATCTGCCCCGCGTAATGGTGCCTATTTTAGAAGTCGCATCCTCTTTGGGCAAACCGGAAGAATGTCGGCTTAGTTTTTAATTGAAACAACCATTTAAAAAAGTAATTAAATGATGGTTGGGTTTCGTGAACAGTCTAAGCAGCTTAACAACTCTGGAGCGGTTTTAGGTGATTTTAGTGTGAATTTAAGGTTCTAATAATCACACGAAATCTTACCTGCGCATCAAGTGTTATGAAGCAGTTAATAGAATACGCTTGGTAGTGTTGAACATCTTCCTTTCAAGAATTCATCCTCGGTTTTATCGAAGTCAGCAATTCCTCTGCTTTTGAGAACTATGTCCTTTTCAAGTACAGGTAGATCTTTTTGAAATTTACTCTTTCCTTGGTTTTGGCTACTGTTTCGGGACTTCCTGTTC